TATAATCCATAACAGATGTAAAATGTGAAAAAAAAACAATCCATTATAATTCATTATAATCGAGTATAATCCATTACTGGGTATAATCCAACCCCTCGAAAAAATCCATTATAATAGATTAAAATCGATTATAATGGATTTTTTTGACTTAAAAAATATTAGGATCATTACGAGACCAAACTGTGCACTGGATAGGAGTACAATTTTGTGTCTGTATGTTCCTGGATTCCAGAGCCAAGTCTTTAATCATGTTAAAATTTTGTCGGAACGATCAAAGAAAATTAAAGAACAAAAGAAGAACAAAGGGAGCGTCCTTGTTGCGGAATTCGCTTACAATGCACAAAATGCACAATTTGGCCTCGTAATAGTTATAATCCATTTTTAATGGACTATAATCGATTATAATGGATTTTTTTTGGCTTAAAAAATTATAAGGATTATAATCAATTTTTGATGAATTATAATCGATTATTTTGTCATTTTATAGATGTTGACCATATTATGACAATATAATCGATTATGATCCATGGATGCTCGGTTCGGGTGTTCAATACAGATCAATTAGATTTTTCGAGTTTCAAAGTGTCAAAATATTTGAGCTCGATGTGCTTTTTTTCTCAAGACAGTTTTCGACACTTTAACAATCCGTTTTTTATCGCGTGACAGCTATTAGTGAGCTGAGCTCACAATTGAATAGATAATTGAGCTATGGTTATTTTTAGTAAAAATATGAGTTGAAAAATTGCCCATTTGGTGATTTGAGATGAGGTGATTGCATGCTTAAACGCTTAGGCATCAATGAAATTGGTTCAAAAAGGTTCCAAAATGAAATGAGCGAGCTATTTGGTCAAATGAAGTGGTATTTGGTATTTCAGCAGATAAAAACCATGAGAGTTTTGTTTTTTATAGCTTGTGAGGGATGATTTTTCGGAAAAAAAAAAAAAACCAAGTTTTTCATCTTTTTAAAAATTGCAACATTGCTTTAATTAAATTTACTCCAAAGAAATTAAATGACACTTGGAAATTTCATGGCTTTGCCTTTCTACGAGCAGTCTTGTCTATTCTTCATATTTACTTTGTAAAAGCCCTTCAACATTGATTTCGAACACTTCGCGCAAGGTATCTGCTCCTGGTTTAGCCATGTGGATCGTGTCCAGCATGATTTGTCGCAATTGAGGAGGAAATTGTGGGGCAACACCCCTCCTTCTTTTTTCAACCCTGCTTCTTGTCACAACTTTGATCGGCTACATACGTTGGTATTTTCTTGTAGCGGTTGCAATGAACTCCAATCGTAGCATTTAATGCTGATGATGACAAAAAATGGTGGATCATCTTCTTTTTTTTCTGTTTGTTGTGGATGTCGACATCGTTGTTGGCTCCGAAATAGCCACCACTCTACCACTCTTCATGGTGTTGTTAGCGGATAGTATTTACTGGAACGGCGAAGTCTCTTCATGGTCGTTATCGAAAGTCAGATCCATTCGAGTCTCGTCTCGGTTTTTATTCGATTTTCATGAATTCAGGTTTTAAATGTTTCTGATCGTCTTTTTTGCCGTGCTTAGAAAATTCTGTAAGCATTATTTATTTCTTATAATTAGATTATTAAGCAAGTAAAAAGACTTTACCGATTACTTACACTAGAGTATTTTTTAAATTAAACTTGTATTTCATTACTTTTGAAAAGTCTTTTAACTATCAATGAAAAACCCATGAAACCTTAAATTTTCAGTTGTTTGTCTCATTTTTCAGAATTTTTTTTTCAAAACTCTTAGATTTATCTAGGTAATTGTTACTGTTTAATAACAGAAACTATTTAGCACTAGGATACTAGAAAAAGATTACATGGCCGAATCCGCGCTTAGACTTTTGATTTTGCCGGTCGGGCCGATATTTTTTCGCGAAAAAACAGCCATATTTTGAACAGAGCTTTATAGCCGCGCGGTGCAGAAATTATTCTAGACATGAATTAAAAATTGATCGCGGCTTATTCTTAAATTTAGTAGCAACATAGTCTAAAAATTAGACGCAATATTCTTATGATGATTCGCAGTAAGTGCTTCGTGCTTCAACTTTCGTGTTTCGAACTCGCGTCCCACGCTTCCAGTCACAACGTGCCAGCCACTTCACTCTATTTTTCTGACAAACTGGTACGGTTACTGTTTAGTTCGAGGTTCAAGCAGTTACATTTGCACAGTAAGAGTCGAAGATATTTTGCTTCGGTCTAAAAAACATTTGTGGAGAAACGGTCTAAAATTTAAATAAAGCCTTTGTTCAAATTTCAGACCATTTTTGGCCATGGTCTTAGCGCATTTTACTATTCTTTGTCACTATTGTTTGGTTACAAACACCATCAAAAAATGATTTAAAAAATAGAAAGCTTGCATTACGAGGCCAAACTATGCACTGGATAGGCGCGTAGTTTTGTGTTTGTAAGTTCCTGGATTTCAGAGACAAGTCTTTAAAGATGTTACAAACCGTAAGTGGATTCCACTTACAAAATTTCCATGGATTCGGCGTACAAATACCTGTAATGCAAACTTTGTTGGCATAATAGTTTGCCGTTGATTCCTCGACGAGCGAATATAGGTTGTTGTTCCGGATTCCGCAAATGTAAGTGAGTTCCGCTTACAATTTGTGGGTTCCGCTTACAATGTGCGGAATCCGCTGATAATTTGCAAAACCGCTCACAGTTTGCGGATTCCACGACAGCTTATTTTTTCTCAGTCCATATATTATTAGTTGTTTGTGGATTCCACAAACTATTCCGGATTTCACCTACTTAGTTGCGGAATCCACAAATTTTGTTCTAGATTCCGCAAGGTTGCCTGATTTTTGAGCAATACAGTGATTAAGCAATTTGTCCGTGGAATTCAAAACAACACAGAAGATCAAAGAAAAGTGGCAATGTTGCGGACTCAACAATTCTTTTTTTGGCCTGTTGCGGAATCCTCTTACAGTTTACAAAATGCAGTTTGGCCTCATAATGCGACTTCTTGGCTGATAAAAAATGCTAATCATTGAGTTTCCATATACGAAATATCATTGATCGTTGATCAATTTGCTGAACTTACGTAATTGCTTGAAAAATCTATGAGTATTACTTTTCCAAATAATATTTAAAATGTACCATTAACTATGTGTGTCATATATGTAATTCATCAAACACTTTTCATATTTGGAAAAGTAGTAGTCAAATATTTTTGGATAACTTTTAGAGTCCGAAAAATTGCATTGGTTGTGTTTAGTTTTTCTACGGTTTCGTCAGTCGAGATTGGCCTTGCTTCGGTCGTGCCGGTCGCTGACGCAATTCTATGGTCTGCAAAGTTTGAAAATATTGTTTTGGTCGCGGTGGTTTGAAAAAAAAGTCAACCCTGGCTCGGGTACTCTGTATGAGTTGCAATTGTTAGTGCTTTCGAATTCCATCGCGTTTCACAAAAAGTAATTCATAAATTTTTTTCTGCTATTTATTTAACTCTTTGATTAATCTAGTTTGTTTTAATTGGTATGTTGTCATAAATTAAAGAAGAGCTACAGTTAGGGTTACTTATTGAAAAACAATTCGAGCGAAAAATTGTTCAGTACAACATTAGCATGCCTTGTCTAAAAATCGGTGAAAACAAAATTAAACTAATTAACCACCTGTGAATATCCAAGTATGTTTGGAAAAATTGATTTTTTTATGCAATATGAAAAAACTATTACTTCAACAAAAGTTTCCGACGTTCAATTTTTTTCGTATTCTGTTGCACAAGTTTTTTGCCATAATTCAGTTACAAGTGTCGGATGGCAATATTTGATAAAATGTACAAAAAACTGCTTTCTATTTTTTACAAACGGCCGTACACTGTTCAGATACAGTTTGCAGCAAATTTTTTTAAGCATTCAATATTGCATAAAAAACGGGTTTTATTTTCCAATTTTGTTCTGATTAATTGGTTAAACCACATCAGCACTGCATTTTTAGAAGTAGATACAGGATAAAAAGACTTCTATCTCCTTTTCTTTTGGTTTGATAGTAACAAAACTGCTGAGGAAGCACTCATTTTTAGAAAAAAAAGAAAAATTTTTCAAACGAGAGACAAATTATGTGACTCATTACTTTCAGTGAACAAAAACATTGACTAAAAATCGTTGAGAAAATGACATGTATCACTTTACCTTGATACGGGCAGTTGTGTTCGTTCCAGTTGATAGGAATTTCAGTTAATACGATTCGTAGCAAAAAGATCATAAGAATATTGAATTAATTTTTTGACGTGCAATTGCATGCAAAAGTTTTGCAAATAATAAGGAAAAAAAAACTTTTTTTTAAAAAAAAGATTTGTCATTTTGTGCTATAGGTATGGTAAAAACGTTTACTTTTGTTCGGTTTCAAGAAAATCCCAATTGAAACATTTAATTTTTGGTCTAACTTTGAGCAGACTTATTTGGCCTATTTGTGCCTAATTTTAGTTTTATTTAAGTGAAATTATTTTTTCACCGCATCTTTGGAGAATAAAAAACTGAAAGTTTGAAAAATTTTTGTGAAAAAAAAAACAGAGAAAAAAGATTTTTCCAGTCTTTCTAGTAGTAATTTTTCTAGTCATTTCTCTACAAAACTGTTTTCATTTTTCCTATTTTACTATGACTGCCGAATATGCGTAACTTCTAGTTTTTCGTTCAGACCCTTTAATCACACCTCGCATAAAAAAACAGCACTAATTTGAAAAAAAAACTTTTTTTGCATTTTTTAAGAATATGGTCGGAGCATTCTATATTATTTGTACACTAAACGTCTATCCTTATTTTCCGTAGCCGATGTCTAATGTTTCCAATGGAGCCAAAATGATTCACTTTTTACTTCGAGGGCAACGCACTCAAATGCTTTACCTGGCTGTCTTGTTTTCCTTCCAAATTTAACCTAATCAGTTTCAATTGCTCCAAGATGCTATTTAACAAGCATGAATGTTAAATGAATAATTGAACTTGAATATTTATTTTCAGTTTTAGACAAAAAAAAACAAAATAAAAAATTAAATTCATACGCAGTTTTCGTAGTTTATGACAATAAATATATCAAGTCGCAATTATTAAAAATGCAAACAGAGTACAAAATAGATTGTGAGTTTTCAGTTATCAAACGCGGAAAATAATTTACATATATAACGCAAACAAATCTGAATTTAATCAAAAAAGTTAAACTCGAATAGAGTAAGCATAGCATCATACCGTGATGAGTGATCGTGAAAAAGCGATGACAATAAAAACGTGAACAAGTGGAATTAGACTGTGATCAATCACTTTGGAACTTTTCGCAAAAGAACCGATCGCGTAGTTGGCGCTTCTCGCTCTATTAACAGTTTCTACCATCTTGGGAATATAGTAAGACCAAAATGCACATTGGGCTTTTCTGGGACCTATTGAGAATTCAGAATTCTCATTTATATTAGACTCTACATCTAAGTTTTTAGCTAGTTGGGTTTCATTGCTCCATTCGGGCCATTTGACGCTGGAACCAGCAATGTTCGGGTCGGAATCGCGGGCGAAATTAGCCCAGTGAGTCATGATGTTTCGGTTAAGCGTCCTCTCTTCTCTGCTGGCATTTGGGTGATCTAGAAATTTCCCGAAAACCCATTCGACATCCGCGCCATGCACAACGCCCATCCATTCTGGCCAACTTTCATACGAGAACCTATGCTGCAAGGAATACATGTAAACTTTGTTTTCGGAGTGAGTTTCGGGCCACTTTTCAGCTGCAGTGGAAACATATTCGGCTAATTGGTTGATCGGACAGAGGAAGTTCTGCTCGCCAGTGGCGTCATCTAGGGCGTCTCGGTTGGAAATCGGGTTCTCAATGTCCGTCCAATTTCGGTAATAAAATCGGGCCGACTCAAAAATTGGCAGAGGCGAAGTGCCAAATGCTTGATACATTGCCAGGTCATACATAGATGAGTTTAGGGGGTTCGACCCTTCAAAATCGTTGAAGATACCGCCTATCTGGTAAATAATAAAGGAGAATCCCTCGTTGCGATTGGACCCGACCATTACAGGAACATTGGCAAAGTCTCCCTTTTTCAACATTTCTAATGGGGCGTCAGGGATTACTTCTCCGTCTATGTAAGGAGCAAATGGGAACGTTAGATATCTAGCTACTGGCGACATCCAAAGTGAGCCTTCTAACAACAAGAGAGTTTCTGCGTTTTGGTACTGCAGGCACTGCGCGTAGTCTATTTTTTGGTCGGACAAGGAGCACGCGCTTTTCTCGACAATTCTGCGAACTTGGGTGTTTTTAGCGTCCACTTCGTCTTGATCGAACACTGCCCAGACTGCAGTGGGGGATCCGCTTTGCATGATGGCCTTATTGAACAGATTGCGACTGAGGGGAGAGACGAGGTGAATTCCCACACTCGCTCCCCCCGCACTCTCTCCGTAGAGGGTGACTTTGTCGGGGTTGCCTCCGAACGAGCGGATGTTCTCCTTCACCCACTCCATAGCTGGAATACAAAAAAAATTAGCTGGAAAAGAAAAAAGTTTTGGAGAAAACAAATTTAGCTGGAAAAGAAAAAACTTAACTGAAAAAGAAACAATTTAGAAAAAAGTTTCGATGGAAAAGAATAAAAATTCAATATAAACAGCAACAATCAGTCATTAAACTTCCAAATTTCTTATAGAAAAATGGGTTTTATAAGTCTTAAAACTAGGGGCGGTTTTAAGGGGGGCGTGAACGCAATTTGACCCCCTCATCAACCAAAGGGTCTCCCCTTTGGTATTATTTCATGGCATTCATTTCGGCCAACCAACCCTAAAATGCAGGAGATTTTCTCGAAAATTTTTCAAAAATTTTGTCGACATTTTTTTAGGTCAACCAAATTAATTTTCCGAGCTCTCCCAAAGTACTGAGAAGTCCATGTTTTGGTCAAATTTTTTGCGCCGCAGACAAAATTTTGAAAATAATGCCAAAATGGCGTTTTTAGGCCCTTTTGGAAAATTTTCACTAAAAAAATTGCGTTTTTTTGGCGCGCGCTCCCCTCTTAACAATAGTAATTAGTATATATTGGCGCCAAAGGCGCCTTATGAAAAGTTTTAGGGTCCGTTAGCCAAAAAAAATGATATCTCAAAATAGTTTAAAAAGTTTTAAAAATAGTCAAAATAGTTATCCCAAGCGCTTCCCACCCCACCCTAAATTCGCCCCTGCTAAAATGTAAAAAAAAAAACTAATGCAAACTAATTTAAATAGGATCGCGGGCCAAAAAAACGCGAAAAACTAGATTTTCCAAAAAAGACGGCATTTTTGACCTGTTTTTTTTTTAAAATAACTGCTTTGGCGCAAAATTTTTTGTCAAAATGGAGTCTTTATAGTATTTTGCGAGCGCTCGTAAAACCAATTTGGTCGACCTGAAAAAAAAATTGACAAAAGTTTCGAAAATTTTTATGCCAAATACAAAGCAAAACTTTTGTGAAATAATCATCAGAATGGTCCTTTGATACACTAATTACAGTGATTTTGTTGACATATAAACTCTTTTAAAAACGTTGTCCCAGTGTCGAAAAAACTGATTCACAATTTTTGATTTTTAGTTGAGCTGGCAATCGAGCAAAGTTCGTTATATGAAAATTAAATTTATTTTAGGCTTTAAGGCTAAGAAAACTTCATTTTATTGAAAAAAAAACAGTTTTGGACGTTTCATCGAGCGCTTTTTTGGCATTTACGGTTTTCCTAAAAAAAAATAAGAGTGCATAAAATCATTCTTTTTGAATGATTCAATTTTTTTGTTTGTATTTCAATTTCAAACAAAACAAAAAAGCTTTCACAATGCTTTGGAGATTATACCTTTCCTAAACAATGTTGGGCTATGTATGAGGCTCTTTTTAAAAAACATATGTCAGTGTTGACTGAGTTGTTTTGTCGTATTTTTTTGATTGACTAAAAGAAGCCAAAACTGACATATTTTTTGGATGAAATTTTGGGTCCGCATTTCGCAAAAAAAAGAGCGCTCAATTGATTCAACTGAAATTACAAGCAAGTTTTGTCTTTGTCGTTTTTTACCTAAAATCAACCCAATTTGAGAAAAACGCTTTTTTAACTTAAACGTTCGGATAATTTAAATCAGCACTGTAGCAAAATTAGCTCAAAATATGACAAAACGGAACATGCAAGAAACACAAAAATCTGTTTTAAAAAAATTTCAAAAAAGACAAAAGTACTTAAAAAATATAGTATTGCAAAATAAAAATTAAACTTAGTTGTACATAACTTTTGGATTACACGAGCTTAGCCGAAATCAAACTGCTACTACACTTGGAACGAGACGAAACTCAAATTAAATCACGCAATCAAAAAATGGGCATCGATACTTTAAGAAAAAAATAGCCAACAAAAAATCAAAAAAACTCAAATTAACTCAAGTAAATGTGGAAAAAATGATTAATTTTTAAACTTCCGTATTTTGAATGCAAAATATTTAAATTCTCGAGAACTTTTGAGGAACCAAGTTTTTGTAAAAAAAACATTGGCCCCATTAGAAAAAACTGAATTAATAGCTTATTTTTCAATCTGTTGGAAACTTATAAAACTAAAAGCTACTTTCGAACCTAAAAATCAATAACAGTTTTTGCGCCATTTCAGCTCTCTTTCACACGAGAATGTATTTGCCTTCCTGTAAATGGATAAACTTGGTTTCAAATTATACGTTGAAAATTGAACAGCAAAAACTAAAAATAACGCTCATTGATACCGAATACGTTTTTTCGGCGCGAGCTCCACTCTTAACACTTGTAGTTAGAATATATTGGCGCCAAAGGCGCCTTATGAAAAGTTTTAGGGTCCGTTAGCCAAAAAAATTATATCTCAAAATAGTTCAAAGGAACAAAACCCTGAGGGAGAACAGGCGTCCGCCCCCTCAAGCGCTTCCCACTCCACCCTAAATCCGCTCCTGCTAAAATGTATAAAAAACTAATGCAAACTAATTTAAATGGGATCGCGGGCCAAAAAAACGCAAAAAACTAGATTTTCCAAACACAGACGGCATTTTTGACCTGCTTTTTTAAAAAAACTGCTTTGGCGCAAAATTTTTTGTCAAAATGGAGTCTTTATAGTATTTTGCGAGCGCTCGTAAAACCAATTTGGTCGACTTGAAAAAACTTGACAAAAGTTTCGAAAATTTGTATACCAAATACACAGCAAAATTTTTGTGAAATAATCATTAGAATGGGTCCAATGATACACTAATTACAGTGATTTTGTTGACATTTATATTCTTTACAAAACGTTGTCCCAGTGTCAAAAAAAACTGGTTCACCATTTTTGATTTTTAGTTCAGCTGGCAATCGAGCAATGTTCGTTATATGAAAATAAATTTTTTTTTAGGCTTTTAGGCTAAGAAAACTTGATTTGATTGGAAAGAAAAACAGTTTTGGACGTTTCATTGAGCGCTTTTTTGGCAGTTACGGTTTTCTAATAAAAAAAAAGAGTGCATAAAATTCATTCTTTTAAAAAGATTCAATTTTTTTGTTTGTAATTCAGTTTCAAACAAAACAAAAAGCGTTCACAATGCTTTGGAGATTATACCCTTCCTAAACAATGTTGGGCTATGTAAGAGGCTCTTTTTAAAATACTTATGTCAGTGTGGACTAAGTTGTTTTGGAGTATTTTTTGATTGACTAAAAGAAGCCAAAAATGACATTTTTTTCGGGTGAAATTTTGGGCCGGCATTTCGCAAAAAAAGGAGCGCTCAATTGGTTCAGCTGAAATTCCATGCAAGTTTTCTCTTTGTCGTTTTTTACCTAAAATCAACCCAATTTGAGAAAAACGCTTTTTTAACTTCAACGTTCGGATAATTTAAATCAGCACTGTAGCACAATTAGCTCAAAATATGACAAAACGGAACATGCAAAAAATACAAAAATCTGATTTGAAAAACTTCAAAAAATGATAAAAGTACTTAAAAATTTTAGTATTGCAAATACAATTTAAACTTAGTTGTACAAAATTATTGGAACAGACGAACTTAGCCGAAATCAAACTACCACTACACTTGGAACGTGTCGAAACTAAAAAAAATCACGCAATCAGAAAATGGGAATTGATACTTTGACAAAAAAAATAGCCAAGAAAAAATTAGGAAAACTCCAATTAACTCAAGTAAAATTGGAAAAAAATGATTAATTTTTAAACTTCCCTATTTCGAAGGCAAAATATTTAAATTCTCGAGAACTTTTGAGGAACCAGGTTTTTGTAAAAAAAAAAATTGGCCCCATTAGACAAAACTGAGTCAATATCTATTTTTCAATCTTTGCGCCATTTCAGCTCTCTTTCCACGAGAGCGTATTTGCCTTCTTTTAAATGGATAACCTTAGTTTAAATTTATACTTTGAAAATTGAACAGCAAAAACTGAAAATTACGCTCATTGACACCGAATGAACAAAAAAATCACGCGAAAATCTTTAAAGCAACTTGAAACTGATATTTTCAAAAAGAATAATTATGCGAGAAAATCACAGGTCAAACTTCTTTCTACATTTGAGCTACGCCCATCTATATTCTCAGTGGGAAATTAAAAATTTCGATAAAAACAAAAAAGTTTCGATAAAACATTTACACAAATTTTTGCATTAACACGTGTGATTTGCAGTGAATAAACTGAACTGACCCTAAAATCGTATTGAGTAATCATCGTAGTAAGCTATGCATTAGGGTGTTTTTTCGATGAACCACCAGGTATCAATAAGAAATGAACAATTGAGTGGTTGAGTATTTTACTAAATCTGTCTAACTCGTGGTTTGAACCGCAAGAAAAATTTCAACAAAATTTACGAGAAACAAAATCGAAAAATTTGCTTTCTGTTCTGACCAGCCCCTAGTAACACCGTAGAAATAACTAGAGCGTAGGATGGAAATTTTTTCATTTCAAAAAATTTTCTGTGAAGAGAAATGAAATTTGCAGTTTTTCACACTTTTTCCAATTGACATTAGTTTTTCTGAATCTTATCTTTAACCTTAATTGAATAAGAGTAGATTAAACCTGAAGCGGAAGTTATTCTTCCGTTTTTTAAGAAATTGTTACGTTTTTCAAACTTCCTTAAGCTTTTTTAATGCTTTTCGCTGTTAATTTTGCCAACTTTGTTTGAAAAAAAATTGCTAATTGCCCAGCACCCGTTTGTTTGTTTTGGTTTGACACAACTACCCAAGAATTGATGATGTTGAAAAATTGGAAAAAATTTGTTGCAACTATTGATACTAAAACATAAGTTGTACAAAGCTTAAAGCAATTTTTCCCTCTCGGCGCATCAAGAAAATCGTTTGCCACATTTTCAAGAAAAATTGAAACTTAAGGTTCTCTTTTTTACCAGATATTTTAAATTTGTTGTTATTTTGAAAAGTATACGCAAAGACGAGTCAGAAGTAACCGAAATCAGAATTTATCAAAAAAAAAAACAAAATAAAAACAACCTCTAAATTACTACTTGGCTCAAAATTTTTTGTCAAAATGGGGT